TTTTTAAATTGCGTGAATGGGAATTGCGAGTAACGATTTTTAAATCGTGTAAAAACGAATCTCAACAAGTAACTTTTAAATCAGTTAAATACGAAAATCGATGATTTACATAAAAATCATCTAAATAAGAATCGCAATTTTAGCAGATTCTGGCCCAGTTCCTAATATTTAAAATTCTGTAAATCAGCCAATCAAAAGAAATCAAATATCAGCGTCCGAAACGAAACTGCTTAGGACTTTTTCTACCCATTCTGCCGAAATTCTACCCATTTTCTTCTGAAGATCATTTTTTCAGGAGGCTACTGCAGGGGGGAAGTTCGTCGCAAGTCCGACTATATCGTTCGTTCGACTCCCCAAAAGTTTTTGGAACAGGGTCGGAAATTTTAAAAAGTCTTTCATCCCTGAAAAGATAAGAGAGTAGTGGAGTAGGAGACGGCATTGTTTTACCAAGGTTAACCACTTTTACCCCAGCCAGCAGATTGACATGTGAAGAAAGGTTTATTGGGGGCTTCAATACTTTCGCTCCGCGGAAGAAAAAAATTTTCAACAAAATATCATTTACTGCATAAAAAATTTTTCCGCGCGGAAATTTATGAAAAAAGAGCGGAAGATATGGAAAAATCTGAAAAAAGCGGAAATCAGCGGATCCGCGGAAGAATCACATCCCTGATATTACTTACACATGCATATATCCATCATATACCTAAATTCTAAGTATTAATTTAAATAATTAAAGTCATAAAATTTATTCTAGGTTAATTATTGTCACATAATAAAAAGCTTTCTAGGTTAATAATTAACAAATAAAATTTTTTACAGGTTTATTATCATGCATAAATAAAAGATTACTTTATGTCACTTCATTTAATCATACATAGTAAGATGAAAATGTTGTATGAAGCTAAGAATATTAAAACATATTAAGTATAATATTATATTATATACCAAAGCTCAATATGTACAGCAGCCAGAACTTTGGCCATTGGTTGGTTGAGGTTTTGGTATTTGGCACTTCACCAGATTCATAGCTCGTTTCAGAATTTTTTCAGCTTTTTTGAAACCCTTCTTTCTCGCTCTCGTAAAATGACAGGGTGAGGTTTCGCCCTCTATTTCTCGCTCCCCTGAAATTTCCGGACTGGAGTGTTCAGTAGTAACCCGCCAATAACAATAAAACTAATTCATTTCTTTTGCCCGGGAAACATTTTATTTCTCATTTTACACACTAGATGGCAGTACCAGGATATTTTTAAGGTAATTGTAGGTAGTTTTATTTTAAACTAGATGCCANACCCTGTAATATAATACGTGGTCCAATTTAAAAATTATAGGTCAATATTAAGGTCCGATACCGTGCCGTTAGTTAACTAAGTGGTTAATCTAATTTTCACAGTAGTAAAAAAAATAACAATTTAATTATAAGGAAGAACTTAAAACAAAAACAACAGTGAGAAACTACCCTTTTGGTATTTACCTATTACTTATTAAGATAGCTACAATCTAGTTTGTTTCAGCAAAGTTAGCATGACAGGTACATTTAATGGAGATGCTTACAGATACATGCTTAAAAGAGATCATTTCTGGCATTTAAAACAATAGAAATGAAGTTCATAATAGTTTGTTCATAAGTGAATATAAATAAATGATGAAGATAAGTGCAAATGGCAATTCTCAGGAGAAATAAAGTATTCAGCAAAGGAAAAAAAAATGAATAGCATAATGTTAATTGTATATTACCTCTGACAATTTTCTAAGCAGTTCATCAGGATAGGATCTGGATAACAACTCTCGAGTGAGATTTTGATCATAGTCAAGATTTTTAGAGTCTTCAATATTTTGAGAAGAAAGCCAGTTTTGTATATCACTCGGAACCTTCAATTTTGAAGTGAAGCGAAGAATCTGAGACTTTTCTTTCTCGCATTCAGTGAGCTTAAGCAATCTTCTGAACAACAAAATTACTTTACAATAAGTCTCGGATTCTGCTGTATTTTTGACAGTTTCACAGCATAATGTGTGCCTAGAAAATAAATAAATAAAATAAAAAACTTACTGCAAAGATTATACGACACTTTTCTGTTTGCTTATTTCATAGCATAAATCATCAACAGTATCTAGATTTGAATTGATAATAATATGATTAAGAATAGGAGTAGATAACGGTTTAAAATACTAGCTTTACTGCTATTTACGAGCTAGCAACAATACGATGGGAATATAAAATAGTTAAAAATATATCGTATGGAATCAGACTGTTGGACCTTGGCCAGATACAATATTCATATTTAAACTTTTGACAATCAATTGGGTTTTTCAATATTTAATTTTCCATTCAAGTAAAAGAAGTGAGGAATTTATGTTTAAAATATATTTTAAATGTTAACCTGATTTTTAAAACAATGTACACAAATTTATTAAAATTTAAGATTGCAGATTTAAAATATTCTAAAAATTATCCTAAATTTTGGTTTGTATTATAGACATTTTCCACACAAAAAATTTGAATATCTAAAAGTTTTGTATGTAGATAGTCCTACATATAAAACTATACAATAATATATATGTCTGGTAGCAAAAAAAACAATTTATTTTCATTATAAGCTTTAAAAAATTCATTTTTTCTTACTTCACAGTAAATAAAAACAAATCACAATAAAACAAGTTCATATTGTTCATAAAAACATTATAAAAGTACTTTTGAAAAAGTAAGTAAAAAAAAAAAATTTTTTTTTTACTATGATTTTAGTACACAGTTTTTTCTCTCTCTAAAACAAACTATGAGACATAAAATTATATGAGGTAATAGTTAATTTAAACAAATGTAAAATGAATATTGAAATGAAGCAAATGTAAAATGTATATTTTAGAATTTGTTAATTTGAATTTATTTTCTGATTATCGTTCAAATCTGCGCTAAAATAGAGGACACAACCACCACAGATAGAATAGAAATCTTTAGGGCATTAGCGATTTAAGAAAAATGTTTTCCTTTTTCACTAAATTTATTTCTATTTTATCTGATTGTTACAGATGATTCCCATTTTGACCTTGAACTTTAGTTCTTTTTTATAATTTATTTTAAAAAGATTAAAAAAAAACTTTGAAGCAGAATTCTATTATAGATACAACAAAGATGTTAGACTATAGATCCTAAATATATAGATTCTATTATATATTTACGAATTTTATTTCTATGTATCTGATCAGAATATAGAGTTGAAAATGGTTTGTTTTATTTTAAGATTATTTTTAGAGACATTATAAATAAACTTTAAATTTGCACACATTAACTTATTTTAAAAATATATATTTTTGCAGTAGCACAATGATACTGAAATATCTAAAAAATTGCAGATTAATGTCCACATAAAGTAACACAAATTCACATTAATTTAAATCAAAATGAAAAAAATTTAAAAATTATATTTCTCCATATGGTTTTATTTAAACTAAAATTATTTATATAAATAGAAATTTGAATTATTAAAGAAGATTTTCTTCTTCAGAGTACCAGGATTNAAAAAAAAAAAACATTTAGTTCAAACAAATTAACTCTGAGAAGTTCCAGTGATAAAAATGGGGCAAATAGGTCACTTTTTGCCAGGGTCATTAAGATTTTGCAAAAATTTGTTTAAATAAATTTTTAATTAGTATATATTTCAAAATATTTCTAGTATCAAGTATGCAACCAAATAAAGTTATGTTAGATTAAAAAATGACATATAATTTATTATGTTATAAAATTTTTAAGCTGATTCAGCATCTTGAATGGATATAACCATATACTTCATTCTTTTTTTACTTTTAACACCATAATATCTTTTTATAGGTCAATAAATATTTTCTTCAGAGAGTCTTTTAGATTCTAAAGTTTCTGGAACATACAAAATGAAAAAAAAAATTTGAATTCTTGCTTCTGTAGGAGCAAATAATTTTTATATGGTTAAAAAAATTCATTTAATAGAAAATAGAAGCTACAAATAACAAAACATTGTAAAGAAATACAATAAAAACCAAGTAAATGCAAAATGATATTAATAGAAATATAAAAAAATAATTAGTAAAAGTTTCTCACTTTAAAATTATACTATAAACAGATATATGCTTTTTCTTCAAGTCACTGGTTAGAAGCAGTGCACTACATAATATATCAACAGCATCTAAGGAAGAATGCAAAATTATAAAAAATTTAAAACAGCAAAATCATAATTAGGACCTGTGCAGTAGTAATTTTTTTTTTTTTATCGTTTAAAGTTCTTAATTTATAAACATAAAATTCAAAAACATTTTCAAAAACTTTACATTCTCATGATGCAATAACTAGTTTCTGATAAATATTGAAGAGAAAATAGAGAAAATCATGCATTTTTTGCAATTTAGAATGACAATCGATACAGCAAAGAAAAATCTCTTCTTAAAAGCCAGAAAACTAAGCACTTTTTACAAACCCCGAATAAAGAAAGCACCTTTAAGAGCTTTTAAAAAACGTAAATCAAAAATAAGTACCTCTAAGCACTTTTTAAACACGCTATGCCCCTGTAAAACTAAACATAAAATTATTTCATATCAAACTTTGCAAATTATTTATCTTTGAATAGGTTAAGTTGCATTTTCTGCATAATACATAATTTATTAACAAATTTTAATGACTACAATTAAAGGAACATGACATACATTTGTCAATTTTAATGCAGTGTAAACCTCTTAGAAACATAATATTACAATTTAAAAAGAAAGATTTAATAAGCTAAACTTATTCTAATAGTGATCTTTCAGAAAATTGAAGGAAATTGTTTAACTGACTAAAGCTTTACAAAAGTCATGTTTACATAATATAAATTAAAAGTAAGTCAAATGATATTTTTAGTAAATAATGTTTAATATGCAGCAAATAAATAAATAAAAATTTTTTTTTTGTTGACACAAACATCTATTGACATTCAATCAAAAAACAATTATTGACATTTATTTATACATTTATTGACATATAAACGATCATAAAAAAAAGGCTGGAAAATATGTGAGTACTATTCATCTTGCAGCATTGTTACAGGCTAAGGCTGTTTCTCCAACTCTTCTTCATTATCCTATTTGGTGGTGCACTTAAGCATTGCCCACTGTTTTAGATCCTGCTTTAGGTCTTTTTCAACATTCAATCAGCCATTTAATGAGTGGTCTTTTAATTTATAATTTTTTATGCCAGCAAAATTTATATTTCCTGCTGAATATTCTTAGATTTTTAATAAATTTTTAAGCTTGCTTACTTATCTTCATGGTTCACTTAGAGGAATCACATGCAACTATTAGACTAATATAACATGCAATTGATGCTAGTTTAGTTCAATATGAGACATGCTATTTATAATATTATTGTATAAACTATGGACATACAATTTATCCAACGGTTCCCAAATGTTTTTTTTGTAGAATCTTATGATTCTACAAAAGTTAAAATACATTTTTATAAATAAATAACACAAAGGTGATAAAAAGCAATTAAATTGAATTAACAGAAAATTTAGTAACTTCAGAAAATCAGGTTAATATAATTTTTTTTTTCAAAGTATAAAAGTTTAATTAGATGCAAATAATAGTTTTTAAGTAAATATAGTGGGAAGCAAAAGTAATAAAAATATATATAAATATTATTATTATCATAATAATAATATTAATATATATCTTCTAAGTGTACAAGCATTACTTCATAAGCCAAATACAAGACATAATATAACAAAAAGAATTTTAAATATTGAAGGGACATTTAAGGTAAAAAATGATCCTAGCAAATCACATATCTTTATTTTATTCTTGTTAATAAGAATTGAGAAATGTTATATGAAAAATCTCAAAGATAGTCTTGTGCAGTGTTCTCCCTAAGGGTTTTTTGAAGGATCCACTCCGCCTGCCCTTTGATCCTTATAAATGCACCCTCCTTACCCCCTTTCTAAAAATATGCCACCAACCCTTAAAAACACTACTTTTTCATTATTTTTTTTTCAGGAAAAGGTTGTTCTCTTAACAACCTGTTTCAATGAAGAGACTACTTGTGATTTATTTAGTCAATGACAATTATTTAACTTTAATTATATTTTTCATTCCTTTTTATTAAATATTTTTTTATACTGTCTAGTTCAGTGGTTTCCAACTGGCAGCCCGGGGGCCACATTCGGCCCGCGAAGCTTTTTTTTTTGTGGCCCACGAACTAAAATATATTAGTTGTAATTTTTTTCCGGACAATTCTCGTAAAAACTCTGTATGGGTTTAAAATACTTTTCTCGTTAATAAAAATCCAATTTCTTCGTTTCTGTGAAATTTAACATACCAGCGATGCAAATTTTTTTCTTCTCAAGTTTTGCACCAAAGAAAATATTCATTCAAATGCAAAAATAATCGTAAATGTTGCTCTTTTTTATTTAATATTTTTTATATTTTGTGAATATTATTTAGCTTGTGTGTATCAGAAATTTTCTCGAAGAAATTCTCCGATTTAACTTTTTGAAACCACCCATTTTGGACGAAAATATTTACACACACATTTGTAAATTTAAAATGTAAATATCTATTCTCTGGTGGTTGCAGCAGAGAAATCTCAACTTTTTCATTGAACATTTTGTGTGCTACTATGCAAGTTTTAATACCAACCTTTTTAAAGTTTTATATCATAACAATTGGATATCTGTTGCACATTAATTGTTTAATACATAGGTGCACATTAAAGTTATTGTAGCCCGAATTTTTTAATATGCAATTAAATATATTTAAAAATCTACTTCTTATTTCAATTTGTAACTCAATACTTTTGTTTTGTACAACTTGGTAAAAATCTGACAGTAATATTTAATGTTCCTTCAAACATAAAAGAGTCCTACATAAAATTATCCCGTCATTTGATTTGTGTTTTCAATTGTGTCCCCCGGCCTCATGTAAGTTGGAAACCCCTGGTCTAGTTATATAGTTAAAATTTGCATGATATTCGGCCCTAAAGATATTAACATTTATTATTTATGGTGGAAGTACACAAAGGATTCTTTTAGTGATTTTAAATTTTACCATTATAATTATTTTTTTTAAAATGAATACTATTTGTTTAAGAAATGCACCTTTAAATGCTTATTTTCCCATTATTTTCAGTTTTAAAAAAAAAGCTTTAAGGCTGTACACTTGATCTTTTTTTTTTCTTAGTTTACTTTCATTTGAAGAAAATTAATATACAGAGATTGTCTTTCAGCTTGCCTTTAGTTATTTTTCAAAAGCTTCAAATTTTTCTGTTATTTTGATAATGAGTGAGAATTACTGAATTTTTAACCGAAGTAAGAATTTTAAGATATTTTCCTACCTGGTAATGATTTGATAGCAGTCAAAATACGACCAATCCAGTCAGATTGTTCGTCACCACCCGTCAAGAAGATTGAGAGCAATATCATATAATGCAAAAGTTGGATACAACACTTTCTATTGGAATCATTTGTTGAAACTTTAGTAGTCTTCACCTTAAGAAAATTAGAAAAAATGCAGAGTACATAAAATGTAAAAATTTCAACTTAACTATGATAAATTTTCGTAGTGAAAATTTCAATTATAACAAGTCTTAAGTAATTATTCTTTTACTAATTGGCTTTATTTCTCTGTTATTTCAAACAATATCAAAATTGACATTTTAAATTTAAACTGTAAAGTAAAGAATGAGGATTTAAATAATTTAAAATGTCTGAAGAAGTGTATATTGTAATGGATTTGCTATTTATTTAAATTAGAATTGAGAGTTAAGTAGCAATGAAACGAAATATTAGGTTTGGGCTGTTCATATACATATTAAGTTGGTGTATATGAAATAACAGATATTCTTTACCCGTGAACATTCGTCTCCCAGTTTTTGTTTTGCTTTCGGCATAACTTTGTTTATACAGGGTGGCCACTCAAATCAGATTTCAAATTTCCCTGATTTTTCCAGGTTTTCCAGGTAAAAATCGTAAAATTTCCAGGTTCGTGTTGTTTTTCTTTTCTCATAAAGTGTAGGATGAGTACAAGGAAAGTGTCTATATTATAAAATATTTTATTCAAAATGTCATTTTTTTTAACATATCATCTTGAAAAAAAATTATTTTGACAAGATTTTGATTTTTTACAACACTAATTTTTAAAAAATTAAGAAACACGGAGAAAATAATATGTTTTGCTTATAGAATATATTGTTTTTATTGAATAAAAATTTTTAATGTGTTACTTTAAGTTGTATTTGCTCAAAGTGTATCAACAAAATGGCAAAAACAGAATGACCAATAAAACCTTGGATAAGCATTGTTTAATATATTTTCATTAAGCAAAGGAAAATCGTTTCAGGTGATTCAATAAATCTTTATATTTACACTGGCTCTCAAAAGTATTCGTTCACTTAGTAAAATTAAATATTAATTAATATACATTTAGTTCTAAAAAATCCTTTTTTTTAAAATTAAAATATGTTATAAAAAAGATTAAAATAAAATAGAAAAATTAGCATTAATGCAACAATTGTAACAATTTGTCGACAAACATTGCTGTTAGCGATTGTAAAAAAAAATGTGTGATTGGTTGGATTGCTAAGAAAAATTAATTTACAGATTTCTTTGAATGGGAGTACAAAAACTTTCAGAAAAAGAGTGCAAAATAAAATCTATTATTATTACATTATAACCAACTAATTTTTGGAGAATTTTTATTAAGTTAAAAATGCAAAAACATTTTGACTCATTTTTTCAAAATAGAAAAAAATTACAACCAAAGCATCTGAGCAAACTTGAGCCACAAATTGATTCAGCCCACGGACAGAATTTTAAAACAGACGCAAATATCCTAACCCCTTCTTCCACGTCCAGCACAATCTTTGCCTTTCCTAAATTGCGCAATCTCATAGTCTCCATAGAGATCAAAAGTTTGTATATTTGTTTAGCAACAATGGGAGAATTTTATGTGGCATTCTAGTTAAACAGTGTTATAATGGAGCAAATTTTGATGCAAGCAAAGTATAGCTAAGTTGATGACAACTGTTTAGAGATACATTTGTGTCTAAAAAATGTGGGTATAATGGATGAAATAATTTAAATTAAGAAAATTAGTAAATAATTTAAATTAGTGAAATTTAAAAAAATATCTAAGAAAAAATTTCCAGCTTTTCTTTAAAATTCCCTGATTTTTCCAGGTTTTTATCCAAATTTCCCTGATTTTTCCAGTATAAAAAAATTCCCTGATAATTCCAGGTTTTCAAGGTTTTCCAGGTGGGTGGCCACCCTGTTATAATTGAACTGTCTAATGCCAGAGTCACTTTTCAACAAATAAATGTTCTCAAAGGTCTTCAATTTTGTTGAGTTTCGTAAGGATATGAATTCAACCAAATGGTAAGCCAAACCCAACCAAAAAAATAAAAAATAAATAATTCAACCAAAACATGTAAATATGAGCTATAACTTGGTAATAATGCCGCACGCAACATAAACGAAACGTTTAGGGAGAATACCACTCCATAAAAAAAAATGTAGTGTTGGACTGAAAATTTCGGCTTGGTGATTTTTCAGGACAAAATAAGCCATGTGGAAAATCCAATATATCTGTAAAAAATAAGGCTTTGAAAGCATTGGTGAAAACAAATTTAACTTAAGCTACAAGGAAACTTGCTATCAGAATGAAAGAAGATCATACAACAATATTGCAGCACTTTTCTAAAGTTGATAAGGTGAAAAAAAATAATAGGTGGGTATCACATGAAAATAACCTGGATCAGTTCAACTTATGCTCATTATTTCGAAACCAATTTCACCAACAGCCCTTTTTTGATGAAATTTGGCAGCAATTGCCAAACTGCGCGAGGATTTCGAGCACTCTATTAATCAATTTTAAAACGTGCGAATCTCTCGAATTTTGGAAAAAATTTCGTCTTCTGCCATTTTGAAAAAGACATGACATCAGCTACACCAAGTGTTGAGAAAAAAAATGAGTCCTTTACAATAAGTTATTTAAAGTTAGCTCTATTTTTAGCTGTTATTGAAATACCAAACTCCCTCATCTACAATTTACAGCAATTTGTAAAAGTTGAAGTCTGTGAAAACTATGCTGGAAGACCTAACAAGAAGTATGAACATGGAAATAACTTCACTATTCTATAACAGAAATAATTGAAAAGCCTATGCTGGCAAATGTAGAGGATAGAAAAGTGTGTGCACAATGCTACAAATTTAATTAATGATTCTGCATAGTTCAGCATCTGTTACAAGGTCATTCAGCACTCAAAACCGAATTAAAACAAAATATCATAACAGATTGATGAGCATTTGAGCAACCTAATGAGAATCGCTGATGAATAAGTAGATATAGAACATTTTCCATGTGATAATGCAGCAAAAATATTCAATGGTTTAGAAATTAGAAGATGTTAAAAATGTATTATAATTAAAGAAATAATTTTTTCCCAAGTGTATTCATGTTTTTTCAATTTTTAGAAATCTCAATAAACTTTTTGAAATCTCACCCCATTTTCGAGAAAGGGTGAGAAATTCTCTCCCATTTTTTTCTGCAATAAAAACACTGTATATATATATATGTTACAACCAAAGTCCGAATTCAGCCACTTCGAGAATTGGCCGGCCAAATCGCAAAATGGCTAAGAACGCTGTAAATTGGCTGGCCAATGTCCGATCTTTTCTTGATTTTGGGAATTGGCCAGATCGCGAAGTGGCATGGGAGGATCAGCCAAAGTTGGAAGAAAAAATCCTTGGCACGTATTATTGGTTCTGTATAAAACTTCATTCTTTAAAAATTACTATCCGCGGTACATGCAGCTCACTGCGGTGGGATGCGGCCATTTGAGACAAAGTAAAAATTTAAATTTTTCAAATTTTAATTTAAAAACTTTATTATTTTTTTTTAAATTAGAAGATTTATATTTTTTAAATAAAAATGAAAACAAAAGGGGCAATATTAGCACATTCCCGCCAGAATTGCAGATGCGCCGCCTACCGGGCATTCTTGAATGAGAACATCATGTTTTGGCCAGAACATCATGGCCACTTCGCGAAATGGCCGGCCAAAGTAGAATATTCACTGATCGTTTCAATTACATCGCACTTTATCCGAGAGGTATGGCCAATTCGAGAAGTGGCCGGACTTCGGGCTTTGGCCGTAACAAATATATATAAAGAAGTATAAAAGAGTAGAAACTCTGATAATGGAATATAGGGTTTACTGTATGTGGTCAAAGTAACAAAATGAATAAATGGAAACAAAAATTTACCTTTTTCCAGTAAGTTTCCCACTTTTTGCAAGATTTCCAACGTATTTGCCACCAGAAATGGAGAAAAAGAGAGTTTAAAATATTGAAAAAATCTTCTGATCTGCAAAAAATTAATAATTAGTTAAAATCTAATCAATGCATAACATTATTAATAATTATTTTAAATAAGCATAATTGTTTTTTACTTTTTTTCATTTACTTCTCTTCTTTCTTCATTTGTCTCCAAATAAATATCTTCAATTTCTTTTTCAACTTTGCTGAAATAAAAAAAAAATGAAAATAATGTACAAAGCTTTACAAGTAGACAGTTACAAATTGCTTTTTTCCAAAAAATTATGCAACAAAATTTGTATTAATATCTAAATTTTGCATCAAATAATACACAAATTACACACAGTACACCCAAGCAAATAATCTGATAGAGGATCACATTACGATTTTCTAAAATAAAATAAGAGCATATATTTTAAAACACACACACAAAAAAAAGACAAAAATAATTAAATGATTAGAATGACTTATAAAGAAAAATTTTTTTTCTTCTCAAATTTATTCCAACATGTATAATTAAATTTAACATATTGTTAAAATCTATGAATGGGAATAAAATATAATGAATGGAAATTGGTAAGTACAATGAAATAAATTTAAAAAGAAATAAAAGAAACGTGAATGCAATACAAAACTTCTTCAGGAAGCACCCTGCATGCATTTATGTGGGAGCTTTTTCATAAAAAACAGTTTAAAAAAATAAAAAAGTTATTTTGCCCTTAAGCCCAAACTGGAAAATACCTAGAAGAAAGAAATTCACATTCAATACATGAAAGGGAATCAAACTGTAAGCCAAATCAATCGTTTAATTTGCAAACCGAAATCAAAAAAAGTATATAAGTAAAAATCTTAGTAATATTGCCATGTAATTACAGGGTGCATAGCCAAATTATTCAACAAAAAATAAGCACTTCTAAGCACTCAAAATATATTTTAAGCACTTTAACAAAATATCATACTTGGGCAGGGTTAGAAAGTTTTTGACAATTGACGGTTTTATTTTGTTTCAACCATCATGTCAAAAAAAAAAAAAAAAACTTTTGACATTGTTTTTGAGAATTGTGAAAATCATGAAGTTTTGAATAATATAAAATGAATGGCGTTTTCATATGCTACGGACTGACAATATGTCGAAATAGATTGGGGTTGAATGAATTGTGAAAACGTTGAATAGAAAAATTTAAACTGTTTCTTTTTGCATAATTTACAGCTAAAATCAACATGGTAAAGGAAAAATCTCATTTTGAAAAAGGGAAAATTAAGCACTTATTAAAAACTCTAAAAGAAAAAAGCACCTTTAAATGCTTCTAAAAAATGAAAATCGAAAATAAGCACCTTTATACACTTTTTACAAAAGCTATGCACCCTGAATTAGGTTTTGAAAAAAAAAGAAAAAAAAAAGAAATAATTTTCTTAAATAATAAAATCTATTGCATATTTTTGATGACGAAAGTTCTTTTTTATTTTTTTGGAGTAAATTTAACTCTATGTTAATTGTTTCGTTATTGTGATGATACATATATTTTTAGCAATGTCAAAAAAACAATAATAATATTAAATAAAAAGATGGGTATATTGTTTGATAATTTCCAAAATACTAATATATAATTAAATAAATTAAATTAGTTTATAACCCCTTTAAAAGAACATATCATTTATAACCACTATGATAACAATTTCATAGTTAAAAGTCTCTCTTTTCAGGGTTGGCAAGTTTTTGACACATCACCGTCATGTCAAAAACCCATAGTTTTGGTAGAACTGTATTTTTATTTGAGTTTAACTGTTTATAATTTAAAATTAATTCATTTTTGGGCAATAAAATTAAAAAAAAAGTTTTTAAAAGATACTTAAGAACAGATTCTTGCATTTTCCAAGCATCATTTTGTTTGGCATATTACATTACTGAAGAATGTCAAGATTGATTACTTTCATTCATAAAATCTTGCTTTGAGAAACACATGTACAACACATAAAAAGAAAGCCTCATAAAATAAACTTTTCTTATCAATTTTGCTTCAATTCAAGTGCTTATGTCTTGCCCAGTGTTTTCACTACAGCGCGAGAATCTCGCATATTTTTTTATATACTCACATTAAAAAATGATTACCGCGAGAAATTCGCGCATTCTATAAACCAATTTCAAAATTTGTTAATTTCTCGCATTTTGAAAAACATTTCTCATTTGCGCCATTTAAAATAAAATCCGTTTCACTTTTCTTCCTGGATCTTTTATTAATTTCAACATCTGCCCCATTATCTAGCTTCCCTATTTACCAGTATTGCCCAGAACCTTCAAGAACAACAGAACACCATCCTTCCGAACCACGGAACCTCTTTCAGAACACATTTCTCTGCAACCACGTGTTTACCGTAGGTAAGGTTTCTTCATGTAAGACGTTAAAATTTTTTGCTCGTTAATGTAAGATGGACAAATACCTTGTAAAGCCAATATCTTCTACTCCGAAACGGACAAATGAAAATGAAACAAATGTGGGTANGATTTCTGCATTTTCCCCAACATGATTATATCAAAACATACTATTTGAAGTAAAATATTAGGATACTAATCAAAATTTTCAACATTTCCAAGCATCATTTTGTTTGGCATATTACGTTACTGAAGAATGTCAAGATTGATTACTTTCATTCATAAAATCTTTCTTTGAGAAACACATGTACACATAAAAAAAAAGCCTCATAAAATAAACTTTTCTTATCATTTTTGTTTTCAATATTTTACACAGAAATGAGACATGAAAAAGCCTGGGAAATCCTTTTAGAGTTTCCTTGCAACATTGCACTAACCTTTTGTTATCATTATCCTCAATGATCTCGAATCCTCATTATTCTTGAATTTCAGACTCATTCATACTAAACTCAGAAATCGACTGGGCAATGAAAAATGTGCAAAATTAGTCACTTGCTATCGTATGCTTCGGCACAGTGACCCCGACTACTGAACACGCAATTTTGTTTGTAATTAAGTTTTGTTTAATGTGCTTTTTCAACTGAATAAAAGTTTTTAACTTGACAAAATAGCAGTAATTCTTGACTTCGAGTTTAGTTTTGTTTAGCTTATTTCTAATATTTAAGAAATGCCAAATTTTAAATTCTGCTTTTTAGTTCTTGAATTTATTAATAGTTCCAAGCTTTTTTGTTTGTTTGTTTATTTCCAACAATTGAAAATTTTGAATCCTTTGCAAATCAAGCTATAAAAATAAAAGTAAATATCACTATTTTCAATAAGTATATTACAATATTTCTGTAAGAATGTGTGTCCTTCTATAAGAATACATAGTTGCAAAATCAATAGCAATCATTAACAACATTAATTTATAATGGCAATTATGTGAAAATAATATATTATCCGCTATATGCCATAAATTAGTAAAGAAAACAGTAGGTTTTTGATGGTTTTTACCTGTAAAAACACTGTTTTTACCACTGTCATGTCAAAAACCAGTTTTTGACGGCAAAAAACCCACCCTGCTTTAAATGAGTGGAAAGTAATGAAATCAAATAATTCCAAACCATGCAGCAGCTAACTGACACAAATTGACAGTTATAATAGTGTCACTAACTAAGTTAATAATAATAGTAAAATAATATGTAGCTTTAATTTGTGTTCAAACACAAATATTTAACAATTACAACAGATAAATGCATATAAATAACAAAAATAGTGATCTAACAGAAAAGATTCCAACAGTGTAATTAAAGCACAATTTATAATACTTACAGAAAGAGATACTCAAAAATGTCAGTATTTTCAGCCTTAAAAAACTTTTCCTTATATTTGCTATAAAATGTTCTTAACCAAGGAAATAATTTCTTTTTTCGTCTCATTAGTTTGATTCTTGAGTGCTTGACCATTATTAATATGAAACACCTCTGAAACACCAAGTTAAAAATTATATAAAAACTAATAATGAAATTAGAGACTAAAATAACACAATACAGCAAACAAGGCGATGCATAAATTTTAAACTTCCTTGCAACTACTAATTCTTGAGAAACCCATCATTTAACCCACTGGCGGTTAAGGAAATGGGCAAAATTGGGAGAATGTTTCTCCCCTACACACAGTTCCCCTATCTATTAACATGGGAAAACCGGTTTTGCTATGCAGAGAAGACTGCAGGTTAAAATGCGACTTTTTACGTGCAGAACCGTCAGTGGGTTAAAGATTAAAAAATTAATAATTCTATCCAGGGATGTAGTGAAAAGGGTATGTAGGAAATGTTTTGCCCCAACTGGTTTTTTGGTAACCCTGTTTATTTTTTTATGGAAATTTGCCCTTTTTGTTTCATTAATTGTAAAATCTGTCTTAAAAAGTTTTAAGTGTAACGTCATATCTTGATATTGCAGCAGGCATATTTGATATGAAATACTAAAGCAGGGGTCTGTTTAGAAGAAATTTGGGTCCGTTAACGGACCTTTCACAAAATATCTTTTCGTAAAAGCGGACCCTTCACAAAATATTTTAACTTAAAAACGGACCCTTCACATAATTACTTTTCTTTTAGTCGGACCCTTAACAAATTTGCTTATCTTCATTATTATTTTGTTAATCGAATAAACCCTTTCATAGGCAGAAAACAAGAAAGATGGATGTAAACGAATTAAGTTTTGTCTTTGGCAGACGATTCTTCCATTATTCGTCCGAAATTAATATTCTGCGTTCAGCAGTATAGGCTAAATACCAAATATTTGTATGTTGCATCTGTAATTAAGAAGCAGCAATTGTTGCTTATTTTTTAAAATTTAATTTTTTTAATTATAATTTTACAGTGTTGAGCATAATCTTGTATGTCTTTACAATTTAAAAACTCTGTGAAAAAGTTTTTTTTTTTGCAATAACAGACCCTAGTTGCACAAATTCATAAAAGTGGACCCTGGTTGAAAGAATATAAGTAATTTTTTCACAATTTCACGAAAAACAGACCTTTCACAAAATGTCTGGACAGACTCCTGTAACGCCCCACAACAAAAATACATCTCTTTAATAATTTTTTCATCCACTAAACAGAGTTTTAAGCTTTATAAAAATAAAAGAACTTTAACTATATGCAGTAAGAAAAAAAGATGAATTTCCTGTGACACTTCAAGTTAAAGTGAAACCTCTCTGGAACGACGACTCTCTGTTCCACAGTAAAATGGTTGTTGATGGAGTTTAGTCGATCTTTGAGTTTACCTCCATTGACAACAAAATTGTTATTGAAGGTACATGATTTTTCACTAACAATTTTCATTTTAGTTGGAGTCATTTTCCTGGTGCAGAAATGCCACTTCTGTTGGCACCAAGAAAAGACGGTTCGAAAAATAAAATTTAGCTTCTATAAAAATTATACTAACTGATATAATTATGCGTAAAAACAAATGTACTAATTATGAATGATAAAGCTATTCTAAATAGAAAAACAATTATGTTTTTTGTTTAAGTTTGCATTTAATTTTATATAATAAAAATTAATTAGCTCTAAAAGATGAGAAAAGGTTTGTTTGTTTTCTCTAAACTTCAGTCGTAAATACAGGTGGTCTTTCCTGGAGGTTTCACTGTATAATTGTTTTTTTAAAATTCCGAAAATGTTAGAATTCTTCTTATGATATAAAATTGCCATTATAACACCGATTCTACCAAATAGTGTTTAGATATTTTTGAAATATATCAATTAAAATGTAACATTGAACTATCTTTCTAATTTGAACCTAATTTTATAACTTAAAAAAACCCTGAATTAGAAAGACCGACATAAGCAATGTAGATTCAAGCTGAGAAATTCAAAACAAAATATATAAATAAAAGTTCATAAAACCCTGATTTTTTTAAAGGAAAAAAAACCCCCATCCCAAGTGGTTTTATTAATGAAAAAGCCAGGGGTACAAATACATACTCTTCGAGTTGGTCCTTTTATGTGATTTTTTATTTTAAGAAAGCTGCCCAGAAGTTGCCAAGACTTAAAGATTAGTCTGCGCAGATCATAATACGGAAATCTTCCCTAAATGTCCATTTACTTAAAATAATAGTTTAGTTTTTCTTATTTTGATGGTCTTTGTTTCTAAATTTCGATGTAAATCATTTTCTCATTTATTCTTGCTCACTTTTATCCTTAAGTATGTAGTTTATAAACGATTTAGTTTCGAAGTTATTCTGATTTTTATTGTCAATCAATACAATGCCCGTAAAAAAATTTATTAAAATAAAACATGAATATAAAACAAGATCTAAATATTTCAGAATACACTAACCTTTATAAATTAATTATGGTAGATCACGATGCAGAAATCTCCCCGTAGATTTCTCAGTAAAACTAATACGAAATAGGTATTATCATGAAAATTTCATTTAAGGAAATGCATTAAATGGACAAGTATATACATAAGCATAAACATAAAAACATGCTAACACGCGAAAACAGCTTTTAAAAAAAGTGTTCTGAAAATGTTAAACCTAATGAAACGCTCAATCTTTTGAACTTTTAAGTTTCATTTGCTATCTCATACACAACCATGTATTTTCCTTAATTTACGAACTGCAAAAATTTAAACTGTTTGAAGTGAGTAATTTGATTCGTATTTTATCTATCAATTATCAATGTTTGTAAATATGTGATGCAATTGTGTTGCCAAATACATTTTAAAAAGTAGAAATATAGAAAAGCTAGCAGTAGATAACAATGTCATAGTTGATAGTGACGTAGTAAAGATGAGGTAAAGTAAGCGTAATACATACTTTTTCGGTGGCAACGAAAACAAGTTGCATTAATTTGTCGATTCATCTTATTAACGGAGTAAAATTAAGGAATGCCCAAACTATTATTTGTTGCTGTAAATTCCTTTAATTATTCCGAAAGAAACATTTTCGCATATTTTTTACATTTTTAATAAAAATAACTGCATTCAGTGTTTTGGTACCTCCAGAAATCACTTTTTTTAAATAAGTTTTTCCATAAAAAATACAATATTAAGACAATAACTAATCTTTTTTTAATTACTACTCTCATTCTATTGATTTAGAGAAGTCAAACGTAAAGTTTACGCGAAAATTAATCTTTGCTTATCAGAGGTTTTAATTGAGGGGTTAATATATTATTTATTGAGGGGCTAAGATCAAGAAATATATAATTTTTGATACATATGACAAACGAGTTTAGTTAGTATCTTTGATTACAACAATATGCATATTTTCAATTTGAACTTACTTTCCTTACTGTATTTTTAATTTCTAACAAAGAAAGAGAGTTCAGAAGTGTATACTACGCGAAAAAAACCCTGTCATATCAAATTTTCTATATAGTTAAGTAAAAGTGCAGGGTATTAACGTTTAAAATATCATTCAAGCTGCAAATTATGCAAAATTATATTGAAAAAAAAATATTTACATCAGAATTAGAATTAAAACATTATCAATACATTTTAAAATGTCTTAGTATAATTAACAACTAAGGAGAAACTGATGAACATATACTAAATAGATTAAACAAAGCTCGAAGAAGTTTCACTATTCTCAATAAATTCTGGAAAAATGAAAATATATCAAATTCAACAATAATTAGAATTTTTAAAACTAATGTTAAATCAGTTCTACTGTACGGATCTGAGACATGGTATTGCAATAAAAATAACATGGAAAAACTTTAAATATTTATTAACAACTGTTCAAGAAGAATATTGCGTATCAAGTGATTCCATAAAATTTGTAATGCAGAAATCCTTAGAAAAGAAAAGCAGAGACAGATTCATATGGAAATTTAACAACTTGAATGGAAATGGATTGGTCATGTTTTACTTAAACCAGAAAATTTTTACCTAAAGCAAGTTTCTGATTGGTTATTGGTACCCTCAGGGCAATGAAAAAAGATGAAGACCTGAAATGTTTCCCGCAGGATGATTGTAAACGAATTGAAAACAATAAGAAAGACACGGAGAGAGGCAAAATATCTGGCCACAAATAGAGTGAGATGGAAAGCTATGATAGAAGCCCTATGCTCCAATAAGAGTGAAGAGGAATGTGTATGTATGCATGTATGTACATTAGAGGTTAAGCAAATAATAAACAAAATTATTTGTGAAATTTAATTAATTCTAATTAGGAAAGGTGGGAGAGAAAACATCAAAGCATGATTGATATACGGATTAAACAGATAGAAGTTGAAAGGAGATCTATAAAACCATGTTTAAGTATAGTTAGGTAATCAAACTGGTACGATTTGCTCATGCTTCATGGTATTGACAGAAAATTATCTTTTCAACATAAATCAATAGTTTTCATTTATCAAACATAATCGATATTGAATTTATTTTTTTTTCTTTTCTTTCTGTGCCGCGTATTTCACCCATCCTATCATAGCAAAATATTTACATGCCCGACCGTGTTTGTAATTCTAAAAAATACATGTCTCGGGTGCGTCGGCACTATATTTTTTGAGCCCTGACATGTATAATTATATATATATAGCATGAAATGTCATATCGTAATATAAATCGTCAAATGTCATATCGTCGTGCATATCGTCAAACTTAAAATTAACTGATTTCAACGCCTATGTTTAATATCAGAATTTTTAACCACTTACTAAAATATTAAGCATTTGAAACGAAATATCTTTTTATCTTTTATTTACATGTTAATTTTAAATGTAAAGTTTTTTGACATATTTGAATAGAATGTATTTCAAAATAATTTATTAGACTGTCAAATAGTTATGAGAGAATCAGATTGTACAAAACTTTAAAATACAAAGAATGGTAGGAAAATAGCATACTTCATATTTAAGCTTTTTATTTCTTTAGTTTTTATTGGCGTTTTAAATTTAATAACTATTTATTGTATATATTACGGTGGATGCGATTCTTCTAAACGCGTCTAATAAAAGCTGAAAACGGATTCGTAACTTTTAATTTAGGGAATTAGTTTATTTCGCTGGTTTTCGAAAAAATATTTTTTAATATAATTTTCAAAACCTTACTTATTATCTAATACCCTGTTTCTAGCTTCCACTAGCAGGTTTAAGCCAGCTTAAGGCAAAGAAAGCTGAACTTTAAGCCTTTTGAGCTTAAATCTGTTTCCATTTACATATACTTGAGCTAATTTAACTAAAGCTTTTTGGTTGCGAGGATATATTAAAATTGGGTGAGAAATTACAAGCTTTGTTGTTTGCTTGAGCACAAAAACATCACCTTTGCTCAATTTTTATTTAGCGACCGACTCTTTGCATTAAATGGAAAAGAATGACACCATAAATTTTAAAGTCTTGTTACATTCCCTCATAAACTTTTATATTTCTTTTCAGGCTTAGTAAACCATTTTTAAGATCCTTTGTAGAGTCCTAAAAATATCCAGCTAACATAAGCCTTAATAGAAAAACAGTACAACGAGTTCATGAAAAAAAATTGTTTTATTTTAAGCTCTAGACTAACCCGCTACGAGAATTGCAATTAACTTTTGCTTTGTTGATGTATGGTAGATATTTTAAATAAATGTTGTTTTATAAAAACTGTCTCTTCAGATTTATTCGTTTTCTCTTCATAGCCATCTTCTCTGCGGCAGCCACCTTGACAAAATAACGAGCTTAAAAACTTAAAAATGTACTTTACGTACTGGTAAAAATATACTTGAGGGTGCCCCTTGGCGAAATTGGCGACTTACGTTTGGAGCCACTCCTGTTTGAGCGGAACACCGTGGTAACAGGAATGGCTGCCAAAACATAATGATATTTCAATAAAACATTAGAAAATTTCAACAAAACATTAGCCAAAACTTTATAGAATTGCAATGAGCCTAATATGAGCAAAATTAATATACCCAATAAAATGCATTTTGAATCGAAATAAAAATTAATGGAGTAAGCACAGGAAGAAAAGGAAAAATAAACAACAACTCATATCCTCATTAAGCTTGAATATCCTCAGATTTAGGTACACAATTCTCTAATAGCAGTTAGATACCGTCTAAATTTATCATGAATAGAATCTGTGTACCTCCACACCAGATAAATTCGGCGAAATACGAATCGAAAATGATGTTTGTGGTACCGGACTGACGGTGCGACATCGTCAGATTTTGAGAAAGTTCTTTTTTTCTTTGTTTAAATTTTAATTTGAGATCACTAATGTAGAAACTGTTTTTACCGAGTTTTTGGTAATGATTCTAAAATTATAAATTAAGAGCGGTGATTAACGAACACCCTGCTTACTCAATTGACTATATAAATCAGCTTTTGTATATTTAATGGCCTTTTCTGGCAACCAGCAGGTCTGCTTTTTTAAATAAGTAGAATTTTAAGTTTTCCAAGATTTAAAATTGTACAGACAAAAATGAAGACAACATGCAAGAAAAATAAACTCACACTGTTCAAGTGAAAGTGGATTTCATTTATGTCTCTTAAATTTTAGTATGGTATCATTGAGAATTTTTTATTCAAATGTTTAATACAACATATGCTAACATTTAAAAAAAAGCTAAAAAAATGTGGTGATTATCTCAATGGCACCGTTTATGAATAAAAAAATCAACGTAGTAACTTTGAGAAACTGACAAACTTATTTGCTGATGAGCTGATGAACTTGTGAACTTATTTTCTATTATTAATTATGCAGGTCAATGAATATAATTTGTAACGCATTTTTGCTCTAACAAAACAAACTTTCAACTTTTATAAACTTGTCTAAGTCAAAAGAATATGCAGTGTTAAAGTTGATTCTATTTAGTCATACAGAGAAGAAAGTGAAATAGATATTTTAGACTTAGAGTTTTGTATCACTAAGAATAAAAGTTCTTTAAAGTAAAATTCAACTGAAACTTCATCCTTATCGAATCTATTTTTAAAACTTTCAATTACTTACATGTAATCTTCGGCTGTTGCCTGGTAACTTAAAACAAGTTCTCTTGTACGATAATTGTCAACTGTACACTGTATAAAATATTAAAACTTATCGCTAGGATCTAAATTTAAATATTTATGTTTTTTCTTAAACATTGGTCAAAATGATAATCAGCTTTTTATACTTTCGTCATATTCGACAAGCTCAATTTTAGAAAGTTTGACTTTTTGATTAGATTGTTCTACGTTTAAAGATGAATTTTCTCTTGCTTTCATTTTCAATTTTTTTTTCGGTAATGTTATCTGACTACAGCATAACATCTAATAATTCGCTATCTAACTTCTGAAGTTCTTCTTTCTTTATTTTTGAATGTTTTGAATTTAACTTTAGCGCCAACCAATTTTTCAGTTTCTTCTGATTTTGTGTCAGCTAAAGTCTGGTTATATAATCATGTAAAAGACCTATCAATAATTTTCCGTTGCTTTTGCAATACGTTATTAATACTGTATATAAAATTAGAAATTCTACTTAATATCACATCCTTGTTTGCCACAAATTTTGCAAGACTTTATATTAATTAAAATTTAATTCTGACTCCATTTTATAAAAAGAAAAAAAAAACCCGTTTTATTTACACATAGTTGTTCTATAATATCACCATAGCAACCAACGATACAAGTTCTAGCTTACCAGTTATTTTACAGTTATTTTATTAGTTAGCTTACCGTTTATTTGGTAATTAAAATGAACTTAAGCTTGCAATGACTTTTATTTAACTTTTAAGCCTAGATAAAATAATTTTGCTTTTAAAGAAATTCTATTTTTAATATTGAGACTTAGGAGTAGAGATTTAACTGATCTAAGTCTTAAATGTGTGTACTCAAATATATAATTTACGTACAGTGCACAAAATAAGAAATGAACTACCCTGAATAACTTTTGATCTAGTGAACGGATCTTCACGTTTCTGAGAAACTGAATTTCAAAAAATTCAGTTATGTGAAATTCGATTTCTCAGGAGCTATTCGACCGATTTCGCTCAAATTTTGTATTTTGCTATGTAAAATTATATTATTTGAAATGATGCAAAAAATTTATACCTTACAATTTAAATTTTTTCGACCATTATTAAAAAAAATAATAGAAAATAATAAATATTTACTAAAAGTTACTTTTGGCACTGCATTATTTTTGGATAAATGAATTTTATAATTGTGTGCAAAAATTTTTCAATTTGCCTTAAAAGTTTTCGAGATATTGCGAAATACGCAAAAAAGTAAAATTAGCATTAAGGGTTCAAATTTCGGACCACTTACTTGATCAAACTATTGGGACTATATTTCCCTACCTTCTATATTTTGGGGGTCAGAATTCCGAATCTATCGGAAAGAAAAGATATGTTTATTCAGATAAAGTGCGCTTTTGTGCCTAATTTCGAAACTTAAAATATCATCTGATATATATAAATATATCAATTTACTAATTAGCATATTTAAGGTCATTAAGATTGAGTCCTCGAACGCAAAGATCCAATCAGTAGATCAAAAGGTATTCTGGGTGGTCCATTTTTTTGGCACACTACACGTTTGGGGCATCTATCCGCTATTGGTACCCAACCTCTAATTTTTTAAAGGTTGTAAGGACCACGCGTTGGCAACTGCTTTACTGAATCGACACCAACACATTCATTCCTAGAAGTCATTTTAGTTTAATTCTTTATTTAAATTAGGTAAGAGCACAAAATATAAAAAACAGACAAGCTCCAGTGCCTTATTATCTTTTTTGATTTTCAATTTATTCTTTTTTGCTATATCTTCTAATTAGCCAAAAATATTAATTAATTACAGCATTAAACTTCAAAATGCGACTTTTGCGATGACTTTATGAATCAGAGTGTATTTAAATGACATACGACTAATAGCAAGCTTTATTTGTGATTTATTTAATGGCAAAATATAATTTTAGTTTGTTGGATGTCCAGATATTTGCCAGTGCACACACCGCACACCCTCGTTCCTTTCGCAGGCTGATAAAAGTGGTTACTCCGCCACACACTGAACGCAGCCAGTGATGCTTGACTTCGGTGATGAAAAAGTAAACTCTAAGATAAGCTAAGAAAAGATAAACTCCAAGATAAAATATTTTCTTTTCTTTATTCAAATAAATTTTTACAACTTAAAAATATAATCGAATTCGTCGCAATATTTGCGATATTACATTTTATATATACACATCTTTATTTTTGAATATGATGATTTACACATTCAAGTTGATTCATATGGCTCCCGAATGGTAGAATTTTTGTTTGAAAATATTTTTATTTCGGCAACAAAAAAATTCTGTTCGAAATGTTTAAATTCTACCTGTTTTTGATCACAACTCATATGAGTTAGAATTAATACATAACATTGTTATTTTTGCTCCATATTTTAGCCGTAATTTTTAAAGTCTTTCTCATAACCAAGAAATTTTGAATGTCTGAATAACTTTTGAATTAATGACCCATTTTCTACAAAATACAGTCCCTCATTTTTCTCAGCTAATATGTTTATTAATTATTGGAAACAATATGAATAATAAAGTACAAATATTTTCAATGTGTTTAAAACTAAATTTTCCAGTGGAAATGGCAGTCTAAAATAGGAAATAAATCTGTTGAATATTTCTTGATATTTTACCACTTTTTAAAAAGGCTTTTAATTAAAAGTTGTATCTAAAATTAAAATTTTTAAAGAAATATTTCGCCAATTCATTTCAAATTTGAAAATTGTGCAGTTTTCATTATGTAAAAAAAATTCATTCATTATTAAAGGCAATAAGTATTTGTTATGAATTGTTTTTGCAATGAAATAACATATAACGGAAAACAGATGAATATCATCTTGAAAATACCACTGGTGGACCCAAAATTTCTACCTCTCACCGAAACAAAACTATTTATATCATATTTTCTGAAATTGTGCTCCCCCTCCCCTCTATTTTAAGGATCAGAATTCTAAATATACAGAAATAATATGAATCTTTAATCTGAAAAATTATGTGTTCAATTTCATCACTTAGTTAAATAACTGCTCAAACGAATTTGCATATTTAAAAAAATGTTCAAGATTTCCACTTAGTTAGGAAAAATCTGATAAAAAATTATAAAATTTTTTTAAATTAATTATTTCAATGTTACATAAGTTTTTTTTAAAACTCTTGTTCACATAATTACATTGATTTGACAAATGCACAAAACAGCTATATTTGGCAAATTTTTTTTGAAAAATACTTTAATTATTTTTAAAGCATGTCTGTCTTATTTTGCATTTAATTTTGGTGGCATAGATAAGATTTTCCGAAATGTATAATAATTCTTCGAAATTTTGCTCATCGCTAACTATTTTTAGGATCAGGCTTCGAAATCTGTTTAAAAAATATGAATCTTTAGAACGAAAGATATGTGCTTAATTTCGTAACTTAATTAAATATCTGCACAAACGAATCAGCTTATTCTTTTTTTGTTGAAAAAAAAGGTGTTTAAGATCACAACTTAGTTCATGAAAATCCTGTAAAAGTTATACAGATGTTCTTTCTTTAAATTTTTTTACATTACATAATATATTTTTGTTCATATAATCTCCTTGATTTGACAAAACAGCAATATTTTACGCTTTTTTTTGAAAATATTTTGAATTATCTTTAAAGCATGTCCGTCCTATTTTGCACATGATTTCGATGGTGTAGACGGAATTCGAGAATGGTATAAGGAATTATGGAAACAGCCAAAGAAACAGCTAATATTAAGATTTTTATGTGTGAACAGAAATAGTTGCTGAAAGAGTATGCTATGCTCATGCCCAACCATTGAAGTTGATAGTAAACGCTTAGTGGAGTTTGCCAGTCATCAGGATATGCTGTTGTCAAAAATGCTGAAATGGAAAAGAATCTAGAATTAGAACTGTAGTTGGTGCAATGAATAAATTTTTTCAAAAAAATCATACAACATTGCCATAAGAATAATCATTCAAGATTGTTTATGTCAAACTTATTCTTAATGCTATACCAAAATACTGCGACAAAATTGTTACATTTCTTGAATTTATGATTTTTTTATAAAAAACTATACTTGAAAGGAACATGAAGCACTTCAGTCAAATAATATAGGTCTCTCTATATATTTTTTGGTTCAGTTTAAGTAAGTTTTTCACAATTAAATTTAATTAAAGATGGAATAACTGATATGACTAGAGCCCACGAAAGAGTAGCGGAGGCCTTGAGTACAGTACTTATTTAGGGGTCCTAAAATTGGGACTGAAAATGTTTTTTATTGCTTTTATTTTTCATGAAAAGTCTACACCAGTTTACTAAGTATTATTTGTATAGAGCCCTATTATGCACTATACGCACGATACGTCTCAATAGTGCATCAATCAGATTCGAAATTCGTTTGATTAGCTCCCAACGATTGCGAATCTAATTGGTGTTTGTGTTGATGCACATGATGTATGAAGTACGGACTTCAGAGTTTACACACCGGCATGAATTAATTACATTTTTAATTGAATAGAAAAGAACTGTAGTTACTTTATAATCACAAACAAAACATAAATTGACATAAATGCAGCATTCAATTTTAATGGTATTTTTTAGACTACGGTCATAAAGTCAATAGATTACAAGATTGTCATGTTTGCTACAAATTTACAATAGAGGTTGTAAATTTACTTTGCAGGAAAGAGTTTTGAAACTCTATTTATTGTTTAGAATTCTGAATGCCAAGATATAGCCTTAAATGTTATATCTGTAATTTACCTAGCCGAAGTCCGAGATTTGCCCCGTAATGATTATGTTTAGTGTTTAAATAAGCAAGAAAAAGTTGGCTCGCAATTCCTCATTCAGTTGTTGAATTTGGGTTTATAACTGAAAAGGCGCATTTTTTTGCCGTGTCTATATTCGTAAACCTGACTTTTCGAACTGTCTTCATTTTCGTAAACAAGCATTTTGAACTTTGTCCATCTTTGTCAACACGCATTTTGAACTTGGTCCATTTTCGCAAACACGAATTTCTAGCATTGTTCAGATTTAAAAACTCACCGTTGACCTTTTCCTTTGCCTACTTATAGGAAACAGCTTTATCTAATGATTGACTTTATGATAGGTTTGCATTGAGTTAAAGATCAAAATATTTACTAGAAACGAGCTCATTCTGAAATATTCAAGTAACTTTTACCTTTTTTCTTCCAGCTAAATTTAAGCAGCCTATAAGATGTAAATAGCACACGTGAATGAGGTCAAAAAATGGCGTGAAAATTTGGTGAAATAAGCTGTTCTTATATGTAGACATCTGCATCCTCAAGTTAAGAGGATACCATATCAAGGGAGAAACTTTTTGTTGCAAATTCTTTTTCACCTCCACGAATTTAAAGTATTGAAATTTAAAGTATAGAAAATGTGAGTCCAGTCAAAGCTAGATGATGTTTCAAATACTGAAAAGGAACTTTAAAAATATCTAAATGAAAATAAATTATTAGAGGATAATTTACGATTACATAATGGAGAAGTTCTCTTCCAATAATTTGGTTGCATTTTGATATTTAAATTTTTTTTCCTCCAGCAATTGAAACTCATGGCTTAAGTTCAGTCTGAATTAAATTTTTACTTCTTTAAGTTTTGAATTAGTTATGGAGTTGAAAGAGAATTCATGAGGAATCGTTTCTGCGGTAGTATGGCGTCCTCTTAAAGTCAAGTCATTCATTACTTTCAATCCACCACAGAAAAACCTAACTGGGATCCGCACGAAGTCACAAACATATTGGAAAATCTGGCCCTCTTTTCACACTTACAAATTCTTTAGTATGCTAATCAGAGTCACAAAATTAGTGCTAGTCCTGTACCAATCCTGAAGACAAGCGAATTTCTGAATCAAATATTTGTTTTCAAGGAGGATTTTTTCAGGACGCATTTGCGTTACATGGGGAGGAAAACTGCGAAAACCTCCCATGGTTAGCCTGACGGTAAGAGGACTCTAACCCACGAATCGTCTTATACTGAGGATATTTTACGTCAGCACTGTAGTCGGTGCGAGCCTGCTGCGAAATTCGTATCGAGCAGCCATCGTTGGGAATTGAACCAAGTTCCCCTCATTGGAAGGCGAACGCTCTGTCCCTGATACACCACGGCTTTTGGCATTAATTTATCCTAAGAAAAGAAACTTTTATACTAGAGAAAGTTTAGCGAAAGTGAAATCTCGGAAATCAAAATATTTATTTAAAATAAACGCCGATTATCTTAACGTAGCTGACAGAGGAAAAAAGAATAGCTGGGGGAATGTTAATGTTAGAGGTTTTCTTAAAGCATCTGCTTTGACACTGTCAGAGGAGAATTAGGGCGTCTTAATTAGGAGTAAAGATCGGAGACAATTGATTTATCTTAATCAATTGCGTTACTAGAGCAAATCTGCCAAAGCTGATGTAGCGTTTTCAGAAAATTACCTTATTTGATTGTGGTGTAGTTATACTGTGAGATAAACTATTTTGTATTTACTGGCTTTAGCATTGTTTAAGAAGTTTTGGTCAATTTGTATTTTATAAATTAATACTAGGAAGAAACGATTGTGAATAAGAAAATGTTTTGAATTACTAGTAAATTTATTTTTGAAATCTCTATATTAGTTGAAAGTTAAAACAATAGATATATTAGATCTCTGAAAAAATTAATATTAAATGCATGTATAGATAAATTTTCAATTTTATTTTCAAACTAGCTGAATAATAGTTTCAGGTACAGGGTGAATTAAAGAATAAATAAATTAGTACTAATCAATACTACGAAATTATGCTTAAAACACAAAGGTATATACCGACGCAATCAATAGGGCTTAAATAATTGCGTTTTTTTTTTCATTTATTACTACATTATTAGACTAAGCAAAACACGATTTTCGTAGTTCGTTCCATCAGAATAAAAATTAAATATATTTAGTATCATTTGGCAAGATAGTCTTGCTCGCGGTCATGATGATCAAAATATACCATAATCAAGTAATTTTCTCCGGTACTTATCCCTTTCGAGGCGTTAAAACTGCTCAGTACTGGTGCAGTTTTAATAATTGCCAATTATATGGATGTAATACATTGTACCTATATTGTACATACACTTTAACATTTGAGTTTAGGGCGAGAAACATTTATCAGTGGTAGCCAACAAAAGTCGAAACTTTAAAAAAAACATATATATTGTTGGACATTGATGAGGAATTTAGAACGCGACAATTTCTCTACTTAACCTTTAATATACAGTTTAAATTATTTTGTAGTAATGGTCGAAAAAAGTTCTTATTAATCTAATTAATTAAAATACACTGAAGAGCCAAAAAAACTGGTATACCTGCCTAATATCGTGTAGGGCCCCCGCGAGCACGCAGAAGTACCGCAACACGACGTGGCATGGATTCGATCAATATGTGAAGTAGTGCTAGAGATAATTGACACCATGAATCCTGCAGGGCTGTCCATAAACCAGTGGGAGTAAGAGGGGGTGGGGATATCTTCTGAACATCA